CTCCTGTTGTAGACTCAGAAAAGACAAATGAAATTCTTAAAAACCAGAGCATGTGCTTCCTGAAGCTTAGCTCTTGCCTGTGACTTATTACAACAACACAACCCGGCGGTCTCCCATATGAAGGCACTTTGGACGACATTCGCGCAGTGGCTGCCAAATAAAGTCCAGAGGTTGCAGAATCATTTGTCAACACCAAAGGCAAAGGTACCAAGAGCTGGTCCTTTCTTCCCAGAGGTCACTCCTTCTGATCCATGGGTTTATTACCTAGAGCAAACAATTAATCTCGCCGCCTTCAGAATACAAAATAGTTTTAGCCAAGGTAGTATCCTCCCATGATCCGCTTCTCTGTCTGGGCATCGCTGCCAGGAGGAAGAACAAAAAAAAAAAAAAAAAAAAAGTCCACTGGCTGAACATCAAGGGACCTGTCCCCATCCAAGATCTACAGCTAACTCAATCTTAGCTGAGTTGGGCGTCGGTGGCCTCACCTGAAAACAATGGTGTTTCCTAAGAAGATTGTCATTATCTTTCGTTTTCGGCAGTTCCATAATCAAGAAAATCTCTAGTAGTTTTTAAAGCACTTCTGCACTCCAATGTTGCACGTTCTAGTACTTTAATTTGAATACGTGAGCTTCTGTATAACGTGCGTGTGTGCAAATGTAAACGTGCACATGCTCATATTTGTGTCGGCACACATACTCTGATACTATTAGGTGGTTACACGGGGCTAATTGCTTCCATTTCAGAGCAGCAAATTTTCAGTTCTGCAACAGATGTCGCTGTGTGATTTCTTCTTTCTGTGCTGGATTTTCTGTTAAAAATGCCCAGCATAATGGTCAGTAGCATTCTTCCAAAGAAAGATATACAGCATTTTAATTCTCTGGATTTCTTTCTTTTAAATTTTCTTCGTATGTGGTCAATTTCCATTCAAACCACAGTATCAATTAGCTTGGCCTCTTGTAAGAAATACCCCTCACATAAAAATAGTCTTTTTGTTAAACAACACACACACACACACACACAAATCAATCAAAACATTAAAAAATTAATACAAATTCTATGTGGTCAATTAGCTTTTAAATATCACATACATAGACCCAATAAGAATGAGTCTCTAGCATTGATTTTCATAGTATCACTATCAATTTTAAAGGGGAGGGGGACAACTTAACAATAGAGGCTGAAAAATTAAAAGGAAAAAAATATCACGTATGAAGCTGAAATGTACCAGGTACGGGAATAAAGTTTAAAAATAAAACCCAAGAGCACTATTAATAACAATTTTTAAAATACGGGGTTTTCATTTTAACAACACCCTTAAAAATAATCACGAGGCTAACGTGATAATTGCAAGACATCTTACCTACCCATTCTGACATTCACTATCTTGACACATGTCATAGACAAGTGACATCTTTCCCCACACCCAGTACACTGTCCAATGTTGATCAGTCAACAGGTAGCTAGCTACCCAGCAGTTTCTTCCGTAAGAGCCAACAATGGCAGAAAAAGATTTCAAAATCTCCTTTGAAACCTTAAGAGGCTGTTACGTTCTGGGGTTTTGGAGGGAGTGGAGATTGAGAAGCAGGCGGTGAGTAGGGAACCAAATCCGGTAAGAATGGGAAGTCAGGAAGTAAAAGAGGAAGCCAGAGCGCCCGGCCTGTTATCACCTTCCTTGTCCCACTCCCCTTTACCAGGAGAGCCACTGGGGAAAACTGGATAAAGCATGTACAACATCCATATGAATAAAGCTCTTTGTTCCGGAGAACTGCCTGCTCTTTTATTCCCCCCTTTTTCGTATTTGTTCATTTCAAAAGATTGCTCAATGGGTCTCTTGTTCCTCCAAAATGTCCCGGGCAAATAATGCAAGCTTGTCTCGTCACACAAGTCACTAAATGAAGCCTTGTGCGTCTCCAGTGACACACTGTAAATATAAAGTGGCATTAATGAGGGATATTTTATCGAAGCTATCATAGGCAAGTGCAAGTCCCCCCAGTGACTATTCAATTGGATGCAGGGAAAGGCAACAATAGCAGGGCGTCACTTTTGCAAAGTCCCTGTCCCTGGTATGCAAGCTCCAACAAAGCTCCAACCAAGTCCCAACCGGCTAGGGCAAGCCGGGACTAACTGCCACCCCACAAATCCCCTACCCATCAACCATTGTCTCTAATCCTGCACAGGGTAAGAGCAGGATGATCTACTGTAGGTTCCTTCAGGATCCCAAACAGCAGCATGCCTGCACCTTAAACACGGTAAGAGTGAGTAACACAGCACAGGCGATCCTACTCTGGCTGCATTTCGGGTCTGTTTCACCCAAACACCACAGGAGATGAGAGTGGATTTCCTCTGGGATGGAGGTAAGGGCGGGGGACAGGCAGGAAGGCTTCAGCTACAGAGGCAAACAGAACAGAACCCCAGTCCATAATAGCGGGACTTGGCTTTCCCGGCAAGAATGGGAATAAAACAAGCCTAATGAAGTTAGCAGGTAGCACCAACAGGTTTCTCTTAACCGGGGAATGAAAAGCAGAGGCCCCTGAGAAAGCTTTAGCTCAGCTTGTAAGGAAAAGGAGTCCTTTGGTGTCCACCTGAAATTGACCCCTGCAGTATGGAATCTAGGGCTTGGCCAAGACCATCTCTCAAAGTGTACACACACACACACACACACACACACACACACACACACACACGAGCATTCAAAAAAATTAAAGAAAGTCATCTCACCCTCTCACTACAAATCAAACCCAATTGCTTTCTAATTTGAACACAATCTGATAAGCGGCATACAAACAGGGATGTACACAAGAGCAAGGAGCTGCTTCCATGGTAACTGGCAACAGAATTTTCCTGTAGCTTTGACATGCACGGTTGAGTTCCAGACCGTTCCTTTCTAAGTCAGCACACATCCCTCGCCGAGAAGGCAACTTCTCGCCGAGAGATAGTACAAATATAGTACGGTTGTTACTACCCCGTGCCTTCAATGAGCAGGCTTGACAAGGGAGGCAAAATCTAAGCCTACTCGGCTGGTTTAGTGACACTGCATGGCTCCCATTTATAGTGGAAAGGCAATATCCCGGGTCAGCGCTTCCCACCCCCACCCTTCGTTCTGCAGCCAATACAAGTCTATTGTTGCCTCTGTAATGCACCAGTTACCCAGCCTTTACTCACGCTCACGTTTAACTGACAGTGGGGCTTTTTACAATGCAGCACGAGGGATCTCTTTCGGGAACACTCTATCGAACCCTTCCAGTCAGTGGCATCACCAGAAATTAAGTTGTAACCACACGGGCTTCGGCTAAACCTAATTATCTCGTAACTCATAAATTAAGAATTCACATAAGAAAAACATATAAACATCCGGAGACAGACTGTAGCATGGAAGACAAAATTCTCAAGCTGGAATAGAAGGTGCTGCCAGGCTCCCACCCTTAAAGCTTCCATGGGTTCTTCTCCGCAAGCTTGTTTTATATTTTTTTTTTTTTTGAGGGGGATAAGTCAACCAACCTGGCATCCCCCTAAATCCGAAGCTAGCACTCCCAAGCATCCCCCATCTCCAACAGCGTGTCTCCTGCGGTGTTTACATAACTATGTGTCCTCTAGCGTGTAAACAAAAGACACAACCCAAGCAAAGAGGGCCCCCGGAACCGCATGCTGGCCCCAGCGCTGCATCCTCCCGGGCTGGGGGCTCCGCAGGTGGGGGTTGAGCTCGCGGCGTCCTCCACCACTTGTTGCTCCCAGGTCCTGCAGCTCTGGAGCTGCAAGGAGGGGTTTTGCAGGCTCAGACCCCTAGCGCATCCCCTCGTGCACGGCCGGCAACCCGCTCGCCACCGCTCGGTGCCGCTCGGTGCCACCGGCCGCCGGGAGCCAGAGGCAGGCAGCACAGCCGCACGGGGACGCCGCGCGGCTGGTGAGAGCGACGAGGTGGCGGGAAGGCGGGCGCAGCGCGGCCGGCCTCTCCGGTGGGGAAGAGCTCCGGCTCCCTTTTGTTAGCAAATGCAAACACTGCCCTCTTCTTTCCCGACCGCGCCAACGCGCCCGGCACAGGGGCAGCCACACGCGGGGCTCCTGCCAAGCGCTCGGCGTCTTCAGGAAAGGTGCGGCGCTCGCAGAGCCGCCACCCGGGCAGATTCTCAAGACGGCCGGCCACGCGGGGAGCGCGCCGAGGCCCGCAGGGCGAGCGCCGGGCCGCAGAGGCCGCGAACGCCCCCGCCACCACCTGCGGGCCGCTTGCCCGAAGGACGCGCAGCCGGGAAATCCCGGATCCCCACTCGCGGCAGAGGCCTTCGTGGCGCGGACCGGCTCAAGGCACACGGAGCCCCTTCGGTAGCCGCGGCGACGAGCGGCCGCCCCCGAGCCGGGAACTTTCCCTGCCTGGATTCTAGCCAAGCCGACCCGCAGCCCAGCGGAGGGGGCCGAGGGGCTGCGTTCGGCTGGAGGGAAACACGAGAGGCGTGCAGCTCTGGGGCGGGGGACCTGCAGAGCGCGGGCTAGCAAGCGAGGGAGAGGACGCGACTGTGGGGATGTCCTGGGGACCCGCGGGGAAAAAAGCTTCGGAAAACGGAGAATCGATCGGGGGGCCGAGCTGAAACGGAGGGGACGAAGGCTAAGCCCGGGGACACAGAAGGACCTGCAAGTTCCAGGGACAAGAGCGAGTTTCGGAGGGTCCGGAAGGTTCGGGGCGCCTCAGAGGGCTTCCCTTCCCCCACGCGCGAGCCCCTGGCCCCCAAGCCCACTCCACTCAGCACCCCGCGCTACGCCAGGAGGAAGAGGTGTGGGTGCAGCCATCCCTGAGGGCGCCCATCCGCAACCGGCGGGCAGGAGAGAAGGGGCGCCGACCCTTCAGCCCCTTCCATCGCAGCCCCGACTTTCCTTGCCACGCTCCCGCCGCTTCGGATTTGGGAAGTGGGGGGAGGTTGTCATGGAAACGTCCCCCCTTCCATAGCTACGGCTCCTGGGGGTGCCCGGGGGGGTATTTCGGGACCAATCCGCGGGTGCCCACAACCTACCTGTGGGGATCAGTGCCGCGGCCGAGAGGAGCAACAGCAGGAGCCGGAGCCGGAGCCCGGGAGGCGCTGCCGCCGCCGCCACAGCCGCTGTCGCCGCACACTGGGATCCGCTCGGCAGCACAGCACTCGCCATGTCGGGCACCTGCCTCAGACTGGCGGCGGTCTCTGCCTCCCGAGCCCGAGCGGACAGCTAATGAGATGCTAATGAGATGTGCTAAAGGCGGAGTCAGGACCGACCAATCGTGGCGCCGCGAGCCCAACCCGGCTCTCGAAGGACTAGCCCCCTCCCCCACCCCGCCCCCTGGCGCTCGCGTTCGGCCGCGCGCCCGCGCCACCTAGGGGCGGGGCCTATGGGAGGGGCCTATGCAAATATGTTTACGTTAAAATTCGGCTTAGCTTCCCCGCTGGAGGAAAACTGTACTGCCCCGGCGCCTGGCGTGGAGGCGGGGGAGGGGGGCTGCGGTTCCTCCAGGAGGCGGGTCTCTAGTTTCTGTGCACCTTTATTAGGAACATTTACGGCTTTCCCGCTGCAGACTCACGCCTGGCGAGTCTCACCCCGAGGCTTCTGGGCCCGAGCACTGCGTGTGCATCGGCCTGTGGAAGTCACACTTTGCGAATTTCCTTCCTTCACCTTGCACGAAGGAATGCGATCTTTGGGAAGCCAGGGAGTGGAGAGTGCGAATGCAGGTCCCTGGATCGACAAAACATTCTGGGAGAGGTGCATGCGTGCTTTGCACGTCCGGCGAAGCGGGAGAGCCCGCTCAACAACCTAGCGGTAGACTAAGGGATAGTAGAGAGACTGAAGCCGAGGAGTCGCGTTCTGGGATTTTCAAGAGTATGTTTGGCTGTAGATTCTGGGGAACGGTAAATCGCGGGCGGGGGTGGGGGATGCTCGGGCTCCCCAGCTTGTTGAAAGTATCCTTCCCAGATTTAATAGATTTTTTAGCATGTAAGCAATATATATTTAAGATTACACGCACACAAAAACAAAAAAATCTACCCGTCAGGTTTGTGGGGAAGGAAATGTGGGGAACCAAGTGCTGCAAAGATAGGGAGAGTCAGCCGAGTTACTCCTCCAGGGCACAAATCAATTCCTTTCTCTGCTGTGCTTTCAATCCTTTTTAAGGCTTCTAGAGACCAACAGGTGCTCCCGGTTTCAGTTGTGTCTCGGAGAAGTTCTCCTGCTGAAGAGACTGGTATGCCTCTCTGGACACACTTTCCCTCCCCTAAATTATCTTTGCTTTCTTTTCAACCAAGCAGGCGGCTCTCTTGTTTGTCTGCCTTTTAATTACTTATTTACTTCCCCTCTAGAAGACCATGTGCGCTCTGACCCTCTGTTGCTCAAGCATCAAATTGAAGGACGAGTCGTATTAAGTGTAAAGGTTTATAATAATTTAAGTATTCATAGAATGCAGAACAATAAGATGTAGGAAATACAATTTGCATAATAAATATCAATATCACAACAGCTAAAACAAACCATGACAAATTATCTGTGGCTAAATGACCAAGAGATTACTGAATGTAAATTGCTGAATCTGAACTATAGTGTAGAAGAGCCCTACCAAAGCCCTCGTGTCCTCATGTCGCAAATAAATTAAAAAAATAAATATCAAAAAGGAAGTTAAGATCAGCCAACCCATCAAATGAGTTACACATTAAAGCAGCCTCATATTATCCATTATGCATAAACTAATTTTCGAAACTGCCCTGTCTCCCCATCCCTGGATCTTCTGCTCTGTAATTATAGGCCCCAATGCACCAACTGCAGGCAGTCCTCCAGAAGTCGAGAAAGCTCCAGTGGACAAATCACAGTACAAGAGGGAGAAAACCAACACCGTGTGGCCACCAGGATAACATCCAGTCCGCAAAAATCCTATGTGTTATCATTGCCAGAAGTGAACTACCTTGATCAGACCCGATGCAAAGCAGATTTCTACCCAAATTAGAATGAAAAGCCAGGGGCTGACAACGGAATGTATACTGCTAAATCTGACGTTACATCTCAGTCGCAATAGCCCAGGGCTAGGCGCAAGAGGGTGTTCTTTCTGTTGCTGCTACTCATATGTCCTTGAGTCCTTACCAAGAAATTTTTGTGTGTGATCTTGTTTAAGCACTGAAACATTCTATTGTTTCCCTCCATTTTTTATTCAACATGGCTAGAAAAATTAAACGCCAGCCTTAAAAAAAATATTTCCAAATTGTAGACAGAACCCTCACAACTAACCACTATGCTGCACTGTGCCTCAATAAATATGTGTTAAGTGAAGGAATAAATTTCACATCATAGTGCATGAATAATAAGCAAAGGAGAGCTGTATTTTTAACATAAGGTGAAAATATGCCAGCAGCCCAGAAACGTTGTTGAAAATAACAGGATTGCAGCAGGCTCCGAAGGAAAGGATTCTTCATGAGGCTGAGGCTCCAGGAGAATGTAGCCAGGCCCTAGTCCTCCCACACTCAGAACACAGAATGGGGACATTGGAAGAGCTGGAGTGTTTTCATCTCCCTCCGTTCTCTTGGCACTTCAAATGAACACCTACTCAGATTTCCAGCTGGCGAAGAACAACATGGGACATTTCTATAGGAAATGCCAGTGCTGTATGACTTACCTCACTGGAAGAATGCAAACAGCCTCGGAGATTTCCACAGAAATGCTGCCTGCCATGTAGGATTTGAGGAACTTGGCACAGCCGGTTTTACCAGGTATGGAAACTGGGGCCTGGTACACCTTCTGCATACAAGCCAGAGGTGAGAACTCAGGATGAAGCAAGCAGTTGTTGCTCTGTCTTCTAGCCACGCTCCCCTCCCACCCCCCACTCCCCAGCTCTTTCACACCAAAGATGTTGCCAAGCGATTTAACATATGGAACATGCGAGGAACGCATCAAATTCCCACAGCCGCTAAGTACAAGTTATGACTACCCTGGCTTTCTCGTAGTAAAGCGCGTCATTTTCTGCTCCACGGACTAGAACTCATCGCCAAGAACAACTTCCAACATTTTTCCCCTTGCTACATGGATTGAACCAATTTTAAAAACCAGATGGTGTTTTTGCCGTTTATAACTGATAATCAATTGTTTTGTGAATTTAATTTTTTTCAAGAAAGAACTGAAATACTTATCAGAATTACAATCTGGGTGCGACTTGCGTTAGAATAAACTTGCCAGAAGCACCAGGACCCTGGTTTCCTTCTTTCTTGCTTTCTTTTTTTTTTTTTATGACAAGCCAGAGAGAGACTTAATATTGTTTGCCTTCACCAAAACAGTTGAGAAATGTGGATAAACATATATAAAAAATAAGCATTAAAGGGGATTCATGTTTGTGGAAATAGATCAGAGATAATTAACGGCAACTTAGTAACATTTTGCCTCTTAAAATGCTAATTATTTTAATACCCATGTATAAGAGCAACTCAGACAAATTATTAAGAAAAGGAAAACAGTATTCGGAGTCAGCATTTGCCCAGCTACTGAGTTATTTAAATATTCATAGAAAAGTATTTTAATCCATGTTACTGACTGTGATTCCTACCCTGTCCCTGGTGCGGGAGAATTGTCTGTATTCTGTCAATCATGTTTTAAATAAATGCTGATTGGCCAGGCAGGAAGTATAGGTGGGTGAACCAGACAGGAAGTAGAGGTGGGTCCATGAGAACAGGAGTATTCTGGGAAGAAGGAAGTTCCCTTGGGAGTCCTGCCCAGACCACCTAAGAAGCAAGGTGTGACCTACCCCTCTGAAAGAGGTACCTAGCCATGTGGCTAACGTAGATAAGAATAATGGGTTAATATAAGTTACAAGAGTTAATAAGAAGCCTGAGCTAAGGGGCCAATCAGTTATAACCTAATGTAGACTCTCTGTATGAATTTCTCTGGGACTAAACAGCTGGGGAACTGGGCAGGACAGAAACCCCAGCAAGCAGGCCCTCATGTTACATGTCCCCCCTACACGCCAATTCCTGCAATGAAACTTTAAGCCCCAATGCAATGCTCTTTGGGGGTGGGACCTTTGAGAGGTAATTATTTTTAAATGAGATCGTGAGAATGAGGCCTCCATGATCTTCAAGCTCTTTAAGAACAGAGACAGCAGAGTTCTAGAAGTGTGTGCAAAGGAAGTATGGCACATTCATGGTGACAGGTGGACTTTGCAAGGCAAGAGGATGTTCACAAGGATTTAACAATGCTGGCACCATGATTTAGACTTTAAGCCTCTAGGCCAATGTTTCTAAACTTTTGGGTCGAGACCCCTTTGGGGGTCAAATGACTCTTTCAGAGGGGTCGCCTAAGATCACTGGAAAACACAGACGTTTATATTATGATTCATAACAGCAGCAAAATCACAATTATGAAATCGCAATGAAAATAATTTTATGGCTGGGGGTCACCACAACTGGAGGAACTGTATTAAAGGGTCACAGCATTTGGAAGGTTGAGAGCCACTCTGCTAAACTTTAAGAATGGAAGGAAAATAATGTTTTGTTGTTTCAGCTTTCGCTTCTAAAATTGTGGTTCATAGCCTCTATGGAGTCTTGTGAAGGTCATTTGAAAAACCGGCGCCACTGAGATTCCTTAACATGCAACTGTCAAACAGTAACTGAAAATCAAATATGTGATGAATTTGAGATGTTCCTGACAACTCCCTTGTGACGTCACCGCAGCCTTAGTTTGCAACACCCAAGCCCAAGTTTGAAAGCACTGTGTGCCCCGAGTCGCAGTGTGCTACATCTCTGCTCTTGGAGGAACGTGATGGTTTAAGTATGAGAAGCAAAGACTGTTTATGTTTTGCTACCGTCGTTCCTCAGCATGTCTCAATTAGTACATCTTTGTAATGGTTTGGGGTTGTTTTTGTTTTTGTTTTTTTAAATGCTGTTTGATGACTTACATTTTATTTTTAAATTATTCAAATAATTTGGGCTCGAGATTGGGGCAGAATTGCCAATAATTTCTAAAATGGCCCCAGACATGCTTCTGCTGTTTTAAGCTACTTATCTTTGCAAAGCAGCGTTCTCAGTTTTGTCAATTATAAACTGACAACTTCAATCAACTCTGAAAAGTATTGAAGTCTGTATCCTAAAGTACCAAATATTCAGCTAAGGTTCAAGTTTTTATGTAAAACTGAATAAACAAACCCAGCTTATCGGTGTGTAAATTTCCATTGATCTTTACTAAATGGCAACACTGTACACCAAAGAACTATTTTTCATTTGTTTTTATGGATAAATGTTTCATTTGTTCACATTTTATATATGTATGTGTATATATACACATACATACCTTGGGTTGCATAGAAATTTCCTAGGCAAATAGGCATCACAAGCAGAAAATAAATTAGAAGTCCTAGTTTAAGGCACCTAGCCTCTGGTGTTTTGTTGTAGCATTCTAGGGACACTGAAACAATCTGTGAGCCTTATCAAAGGTACATTAAAGTATCCTTAATGCCAACTTCTTACAGAAAAGTATTTGACAAATTAATGTTAATTTAGAGGCAAATTGAACTTAGATAAATCCTTGGCCCTACCTAGTAGACAGCTTTTGTCGTCTTAGATTTAGACTAAGCACTAAACAGCTCGACTTTGTGAGGAGTGTCTATGAATCTTCACAAAACCCAAAGCCAGCTAAATCCATATTCCTAAATGAGTAATTTAACGCTCTACTCAAAAGTTTATTCTTCTAGAATCAGAGTTAACAATAATCTCTTGAATACCAAGATTCGAATACCAGCTGGCGAGAAAAAAATTTAGTGATGTAGCAGGTTGCAGAAAACTACGCATAAACTGGGTGAAGGAGCAGTCCCAGTTACCACTGAAGGGAAATTTACCACAGGCATCCAAGTCATAGTTTGCTCCAGTCAATTCTTTGGGCATATACCCAGGTATTAGTGTCAGATCCAAATACACACCCATCGGAAGAGAAAAATTCAGAGTGTCTCTGTGAAATGGCCATTGTTGTATTTTGGAAAGATAAGTAAATGAGAGGATATATCTACTATCTAGTAACTCACAGAACAGCAAGAGAACAGATACACAACATATAATTATTTTTATAATTTTGTACTGAGTGTACCAGACAGAAAAGGAAGGCATTTACCTATTCACAGAGCAAGTGTAATGTCTGCCTATCAGCAAAGCATCCTAGTAGGAAAAGGCTTTTTTGTTGAGTCTTAAAAGTTATGACCCATCCAATGGACTGAAATATGTAGAAGAAAGGTTAGATACAGTGGTCCCTTATGAGTTTCAAAAGCCTTAGAGAACACAATATATATTTAGAAAATTGCAGATAGAATAGCTATTCCTGGGCACCTGTACTCACACACAAATAAAATGGCTAGAATATAGCTTGACAGAAGACAGATATCAAGAGAAAAAACTGGAAACACACACGCATTTATACGTACATGGAACAGACAGCATCATGGTTGACAAGCTGAGATGTTTTCATATTTTTTGTAAGTAATAGGAATTCACTCAAGTAGTTGAACTGAAGGGCCAGATTTATTTTCAAGTAATATTACACTGGGGGCATGGATGCCTTTTAGACTTGAGCTGTGCTTAGTATGGATGACAATCATTGAAGGCAGGAACTCTGGGAACCTGGTTTGCTATGATGTTTCACTGTTTTGGGGGAGGGGTGGACATTGGAAAGAAGATGATAGTTTTCTTTTGGATTTTGAAATAGGAAATATTCAGCCAGGCAACAGCAGCTGAAATGATCCTCTAGAACTAGAAGCAGCCATTGAGATGGGGTCATGAGTAGAGATGGAAGCCACAGAACCGGAGGGCGGTGGGTGGGAAATAATCTAGAAAAGGTACATTGGATGATGTGCTAGTTTTATGTTAGCTTGGCACAAGCTATAATTATCTGAAAGGAGGGAAACTTAATTGAGAAAACGTCTCTCAAGCTGTAAGGCATTTTCTTAATTAATTACTGTTGGGGGAGGGTCTGGCCCAAGTTATGCAGTGCCATCCCTGGGCTGGTGGTCCTGGGTTTTATTAAAAAAAAAATCAGGCTGAGCAAGTCAGTAGGCAGCACCTCTCCATGGCCTCTGCATCAGTTCCTGCCTCGAGGTTCCCATGCTGTCTGAGTTCCTGTCCTGACTTCCTTAGATAATGAACAGCATTATGGAAGTGTAAGCCGAATAAACCTTTCCCTCTCGACTTGGTTTTTGGTCATGGTGCTTTGCGGCAGCAATAGAAACCCTAACTAAGACAGAGGAGTTTGAAGTCAGAACAACTAACTGGCAAACACGGATTATTTAGGGGTGAATAGACCCCGAGACTGAAGAACGTGGAGAAGAGAAGGAACAAACAGCAAGGAAGGCAAAGAAAGAAGAACTAGCCATGCTACTCGATACAACGAGGTCAAAGGTTATTGGATGTTGGCACTAGAGATAAAGTCCCCTTAGGGTGACCTCACATCCATTTAAACAGTTTGATTAGAGTTTGACCAGTCAAGGAGTTCTCTTATTTGCCAGCAGAACAAGATGTGGCTTGCTGATGCTTTTCTAGTTAGGAGAAAAAGCTTTAGAGTTTCCAGTTTGACGTTTAATCTCATTGACACTGACAGCCTTGGGTGGGATAGAGGGATTGGTGGAACTGAGGTAACTCAGCTAATTAGCACATATAGGCCTTAGTTTTTATTTTCAAACTAAAAAAAAATGGTTATGATGCTGCAAAAAGTTTTCTCCCTTACTTTAGAAGTCATATTTTCCTGATATGATATCATAATTGTCAGATGAAGCGCTGTGATAATTCCTTACAGCACAACTTCCCAGGCAATGGGATTTCAGCAAGATCCATTAAAAGCAGACACTGATATCTATAGATTTTCATAAAGCTGCAATATAAACTAGCCATACTATGAATATGAGATTGTATCCTTCATACTGCTCAGAGATGACAATGGTAATATAACTCTTTGTAATATGGGTTGTAAACAGGACACATTCTGAATAGAAATTCTCTTGGTGATTCATCGTGAAGTCTCAAACAGGAAAAGTTTATAGAAGAATGTTCTAGAAAGCCCATCTTTTTGCTGTCTTAGGGTGGGCCTATGTTTGTCATCATAGGCTCAAATGGGAACTCACCTTTCCCAACTGCACATTCTATGGGATAATGCACTCATGTCTCTTCCTTCTGATGCTCCCTGCCTGAGCAGCCGGAGACTTGGAGTGTGGATTTTTGCA